AGTAGTAGTACTGCTGGGTCAAAGGGAATGCACAGTTTTACGGCCCTTTGGCTACAGTTCCAAATTGTTCTCCAGAACAGATGGGCCAATTCACTACTCCTCCAACACTTTATTATTGTACTTATTTTTCCTTCATCCCCTTTAGTATTTATTATTTCTGACACGTATGAGGCAATACTTCAGAGCTGTTTTAATGTGCATTTCTCTATTCAGGGATTTAGATCATTTTATATGAATATAAATAGCTTTGATTTCTTCTTCTGAAAACTGCTTGTTTCTTAAGCTTTGACCATTGACGAATTGGAAAATGGCTCTTACTTTCACAAATTTGACTCAGTTCTATACTCAATATATACTTGAGAAATGAGGCTTTTATCAGAGAGACTTGCAGTAATTTTTTTTTATATTACTTCACTGTCTATTGTACCTTTTAGTAAAATGTAGTTTCCCTGATTATCTCTTTTAATTAGGTCTATTTTTGCTTTGGCTTTGTCTGAGATTGTGATTGCTTTTCCTGCCTTTTTTTTTTTACTTCAGCTGATGCATGATCTGTTTTGCTCTAGCCCTTTCTTTTAACTGTGTGCATCTTTCTGTTTTAAGTGTGTCTCTTGTAAACAACATATTGTTTGATTCTAATTTCCCTTGTCTATCCCACTTCTCCTTTTACTCCATCCATTCTCAAAAGTGTTTCACTTCTGACTTTTACATACTCCATTCTGCCTCCCCTTCTATCAGCTACTTCTCTTATTCTCTCCCCTTCCTACTTTCCTGTATGATAAGACACATTTGAGCCAATTCTAATGAGAGTAAGGTTCACGTGCTCCCTTCCCCACTTCCTCCATTTTCCCTCCACTGTAAAATCTCTTTCAGGTCTCTTTTATGTCAGATAATTTATCCCATTCTACCTCTCCCTTCCACTTTTTCTCAGTGCATTCTTCTTTCTCATCACTTAATTTTATTTATTTAATCATACCATCACATTCAGCTTATACCTCTGCTTTCTGTCTATGTGTACTCCTCCTAAATGCCTTAATAAGAAAGTTTTTAGGGGTAATAAATACATTTTCACCTGTAGGAATATAAAGTGTAACTTTATGAAATCCCTTAAGAATTTTCTTTTCTGCTTCCCTTTTTATGCTTCTTTTTGTATTTTGTATTTGAAGTCAATTCAGCTCTGGTCTTTTCATAAGGAAAGCTTAAAAGCCCTCTATTTCTTTGAATACCCATTTTCCCCCTGAAGGATTATATTCAGTTCTACTGGGTAGGTGATTCTTGGTTGTAATCCTAGTTCTTTTGCCCTATGGAATATCATATTCCAAGCCCTCTGATTCTTTAATGTAGGATCTGCTAAATCTTGTGTTATCCTGACTGTGGCTCCACAATATTTGAATTGTTTCTTTTTGGCTGCCTACAGTATTTTCTCCTTGATCTGGGAGGTCTAGAATTTGGCTATAATATTTCTGTGAGCTTTGCATCTTTCAATTTGATACACTTAAAAATGTATATTATTTTGTTAAAAACCTAACTACTATATACTTAATAATTTCAAAAAATGAAAACTATTTATTAATACTGAAGTTAACTTAAGGCTGTAGGTTCCCTACCTCTACCATACAGCTATACCCCATAGCTTCTATACACACCACTGGTAGAGATGATTATCAAACGGATGGTAAGTGGCCATCCAGAAACAGAAGCACTGGTCCCAAAGAGCCAGTGTAGCATCACTAATCAAAGACCACGACAACTAGTCTATTTCTCTTTTTGACCAAATTACTAAACTGTGGGATCAGGGAGATGGTGGAGATAGTTTCAGCTTTCCCAGGGTTACAATGCCCATATTTTTGCATTTCTCCACAAATGGCAGGGTGATTGGTCCCTCAATTGATCTACTCAAGTTTGACAAATTTTCCAGATATGGAATGAGGACAAAAATATTATTTCTCTTTAAGGTTTGCCCCAGTCAATCCTGAGCAGGCCATGAAACGAATGTCTTTCTTGGGACTGAAATCAACTTTCAACACTATTTTTTTCTTACATTCTTCATATCTTTCATCATTCCAATTCACTGTTGGATCATATTAATAAGCACTATTAAGTGTTTTATAACTGCCATTTTTTTAAACTAATATGGCACATTCTTTTGTCTGTCCTTTTTTTTACCCATTTTCAAACTTTTCTGGTCAGAGACTACTAGCACAGCTAGAACAGCTCGAGAAGCACCACCAATTATATTGGGGACAAAACTCTTGGGTTCAGAGGGACCTAGAATTGTGAAGCGCTTCTTTTTCTGTTTCCAAGTAGGGATGGCCCACTTGCACCACTTTACCTTTGTCTCCTTAATTTATATCTAAGGCCATGACAAGTACCAAGTTTCTCTTTTTCCACTTTAGTTTTTCAAGTATTCTTTTGTCAGCCACCCCAGTCAAACACAGTAATTATCCCACCATCTTTTGATTCCCTCCACACAGGCATGGACATGCCCAATAGATTCTACATTTACGTGATTCTACACTGACATTTACATAAATGTAGAATCCACCTGGCACGTGCAGGCTGGTGCGGAGGGAATACACACAGGCGCACACGCAGACTTAGGCGTGGGCCCTCCGTCTCCTCCACAGCCACTCCCTGGCTCTGCCTGCTGCGCTCTTCCCGTGGTCATGACTCCTCTGAGCACATTTCCTATCACAGGCCAACACTCCTGTGCTCACAGCAGGATTTAAGTCTTCACAAAACACAGATGCTTCTGGAGAAGACTCTGATGGGGTGCTTGGGTCCTTGTGCTTGGACCCCAATTTCTCCCTAGTCCCAGAAACACTATCTCTAACAGTTCTCCCCAGCCCAAGGACACTGTGCCTAGTAATTACCCATGAGTGGACCCCAAGCAAGACCCTTATCTCTTTCCCTGGTGCAGTTACAAACAGCACCTGAAGGAATTATTAGTTTGAACTGGGTTTACACTGGGTCATAAAGACATTCGTACCCACTGGACTATCTATACTACTGCTCTACCTCATTATCTACATCCTGGGCTCCTCATTAACTGTATTCTAGACTGAAGACATATGCATACTCCCTACCTCTATGTTGTCAAACAAGACACTGAATGGTGGCAGACTGCACACCTCTCAGTTACCTCTGAACTCAAGTTAACTTAATGATACAGCAGGCTTAAAATCACACCTCCACGTGGCCCCCCTTGTGGGCTTTTCCTAGTGAACTCTGGGTAAAACACCTGTGCAGTAGGTAGGAGTACATGTTCTTGTAAGAACTGACCACTCCTTAATCCCACCCTGAATCACCTAGTTCACATACCCGGCACATGTTTTATTGTATTTTATCCTATATAAACTTTAACTGTACCTCTCTGTGTGGGACAAGTGAAAGTTTCTCATATGAAATGGAAGCTATGCCCCAACATTTAGTTAAGGCTTTAGTATCAGCCAGGCCTACGTTTCATTTTCCTGTAAATCATGTAATAGGGTCACACACCAGCTGCCCACCCCCTCCCTCGCTTTGTAACCATCACCCCAGCCTTATCTTCACCAAATAGGGCAATCTTCTAGCTTCCAAGCTTGGTTTGGGAAAATGTATCTCTTGGGTTCTAAATACAGACTGTAAGGGCTCTTGCCTCAACCAATGAGGATAAAGAGATTGCTGCTAACAAGTGGGGAGGGGGGTTTCTTGGAGTGGTTTGTCGAAGGGTATAGAACTGTTTTCTGCCTCACTACTCCAGTCTGCCCTGGGTAGGTGATTCCCAACTCTCCTGCGAGACTTGCTGCAAGAGACCTTCTGTTTTCTACCTGGAGAAACCTCTGAGTTTTCATTGGGTAAGTGACCTCGCTCCCACTCACCTCTAAGACCGCAGGCTCCTTAAGAATCCTTGGCCGCTGAACAGCCTAACAATACACTTTTCGCAGCCCTGACTTAAAGAATGCTTGACTCTGTGAATTCGTTCCAGACGACCTGTCTTGTACTTCGGTCTCTGAGGGGTCTCAACCTCTCAGACTGCAACAGTGCCACTCTTCGGCATCGCTTCCTCCCTTTCTAAATGTTCGACAGCTAGCACTCGCAGGCTCCACTCTAGAATTTTCCCCCAATCGATACTCTCCTCATTGGCTCGCGCTCTGCAGACTCCCTTGTCTTTCTTGAAAAGCGGACCACATAGGCCCTTCCCGTTCCCACAGAACACTGGTCCCGCCCGCTTTAGCCGTCTCACTCCCTGGGATGAAGCCGAAGGGGAGCTGGCATTCCTCCAGGCAGCAGGGGGCGCGCTCGAGGCCTCCTTCCTGACCTTGGGCATTAGTTCCCCGGGAGTGATTAATTTCCAGAGCAAAGGTCATGCTCAGGACACAAGACTCAGGTCACCTTCCCTAACTTGTCCTTTCTGGTGCACCCCCACTCCCAGCAGGTGGGCTTCTAGTCCTAAGACCTTTCACCCTGCAGGAGTCAGACAGGGGTCGTGGGGGGGGGAAAGGAGGCTCCCCCGCCTCACGTGACGCCACGCACCTCAGAGGTGACTTCCTGCTTTCCCTGCACCACTTCCTGTTCTCACGTTCACGGTCACTTCCGGTCCTGCAGGTCACGCGTCACTTGCGCGCGTCTCGCGCGTTCTGTAGGCGCCTCTCGCTCCGCCGCCTTGGGCGCGCGCTTGGGCCGCCTCGGCTCCGTTCGCCCTCAGCTGCCGCCACCAGGGTCCGAGTCCTGCGTCCCGGGTCTCGGGCCAGGGTGAGTTGGGGCAGGGGCCCGAGGGGGCACGGGAGGAGAAGCGTCCCTGGCGCTCAGCCCGGCTGCAGAACTCTGCAGGAGGGCGAGCGTTAGAGGTGCGCTTGCGCAATTTGGCGCAGCGCCCCGCCCCTTCTCCGAGCAGAGGCGCTCATTGGCCCGTCCACAGGGCGGGGCGGGGTCTGGGAACCAATCAGGGGCAGCCAGTGCTCCAGCTCTGCTTGCCCCATCCCTGCTTTCTGCTCTGCTCTGTTTCCCTGCCCCTCCCCGCTCAGCGCTCTCTCTGCCTGCCCGGCCCCTTCCCTGTGCTGATCACCTTCCTGCTTTGGGCTCCCTGTGCTGTCCGCTCTGCCCCTCAGTTTACCTCCATGGCCCCGAGCCCCCCTCGGCCTCTTGCACCGCCAGCGAGCATTTATGAAGCGCCTGGTGTGTGCCAGGCACTGGGCTCAGCGCTGGGGATACACACCAGGATGCAAAGACCACCCTGCCCTGGCGGAGCTCCCAGTCTGGGGGGTGGGAAGGGGGGCGGAAGCAGGCTGTGGACCCAGAGATGGAGACGGGTACCTACCCCTTCCCCTTCGGGCTTCTTTATAGGCCCCTCCTGGGAGGCTGTGACCTCCTTGAGCGCAGGAACGCTTGCCTTCCTTTGTACCCCTTCACTGAGCACAGTGCATAGCACACAGTAGGTGCCTAATAAATGTTTGTGGACTGACTAAGCTTGGATATGCTGTTCCCCACCCCCACCCCTTGCTACCAGCAGCCAAAGCATGCCCGTGCAGCAGTGTGGCACATGTCCTTCGTTCTCGGAGGTCCAGTGATGTCTTGGGTGACGTGACTGAATTTAAAGGAGGCAGAGCTGCACAGGGTCCTCAGCCCCCCTCTCTCCCAGTCACCCAAGTCCAGTGGGAGGACAGAAGCCAGGAAAACTGGCTGTGGGTGACTGCCACGTCTGACCAGCTGTAAGCGCCCCACAGCGCCTGCTTTGGCCACATGGCCTCTGGAACAAGTGGCCTCTGCCCATTCCATGGAGGGGAGTCTTTACCTGCTTGGGGTAGCCCCCCAGGTTGGTCACCCTTTTCCTGGCTTAGCCCGTCTGCTGAGACGGTGTGCCACTTGCTGCTGCCCCTCATGCCACAGGTTCTCGGAGCCACGTTGGAGTTGAGGGCCATGTGGACACCAAAGGTGGATGAACGTAGTAGGCACTTGATATTTATTTCAGTTGCAAGTGGCCCCCGAGCTCCCCGACTGCTGCTTCCACAGGGAGAAATGCAGGAGGTCTGGAACTGCACATCAGGTTCTGTGTTTACCTAATTGGGGCTTCTTCTTTCTCTCCAGCTCTGCCTTCGAAGGACTAAGCTTTTCCCCAAGAAGAAGAAGGTTGGAAGAGCCCAGAATGGCACCTGTGCTTCTGACAGCCAGGGCCTGTCAGGTGAGAGAAAGCTGGTTCTTTCCTGAAGCGGTGCCTTAGTTATGCCCGCATCTTGTGACCCAGTTTAGAGCCGGAAGGGATCTCAGTAACCGTCGCTTGTCCTGTCATCTTACACAAGAGGACACTGAGTGAACTGAGCATTCCTAAATGTCACGTAGAGTAAGCAGCAGAGAAAGGCCTTGAACCCATTTTCCTTCCAGAAACCCATTTCTTACTCCTTTGTATCATGTCATTATCTATTGATGTAGAGGCAGCTGGCAGTTCAGTGGATGGGGCCCTGGGCCTGGGGTCAGGAAGACCTGAGTTCAAATCCAGTCTCAGACACTTCCTAGGTGTGTGACCCTGGGCAAGTTACTTCACCCTTTGTGCCTCAGTTTCCTCATCTGTGAAATGGGGATAATAATAGCACCTACCTATGTCAGGGATGTTGTGAGGATGGGATGTTCTAACATTTGTAAAGCACTTTGCAATCCTTAAGATACTACATGAATACTAGCTGTTATGTGTATATACACATACCTACTCCCTAAGGTATTCTAATGTCCCAATTCCTCATCCTGCTCACTTCCCATGATCTCCTCCCCCACCTCAGCCCTACACAGAGATGATGGTCGGGCCCTTGATTTCACCAGCACCCACAAATGTTCCACTTACACATCCGTGAACTCAGAAATTCCTTTATCTAATCACAGCCTTTTCTCATTGCATTCTGCCCCTTCCTCTTCTTTCTTCCCACTGGGAGCTCCACAGCCCTGTAGTTCCTGCCCGGGCCATCACCCCTGCACTGGCCTGCACTCACCTTCCTTCCGTAGCTAGAGCCTTTGGTAAATTAGTAAAGCTCTGCGATCATCTGCACTCAGATCCTTTGTCCTCTTGTCGAGCCCATCTCACCAAACTGCACTGTTAATGCATACTGCCTTCATTTCTACCCACATACTCCTGAATGGAGCTTCAGAGAGTCACCATGTCCTGCTGACTGGGTCCTATACAAATGTGTGAAATAATCACAGCTCAGCTCTCTTGCAGCAGGACAATCCTTTTATACCAGCTCCCCCACCCCCAGATTCTTTTCCACCTACCGCAGGGGCTGGCCCAAACATCTTCATCTCTCCTGAAATCCTGCCTCCAGCACTCCCTCCCTCCCAAACCAATGACCTTGCTGCATGCTTCACACACACACACACACACACACACACACACACACACACACACACACACACACACCCTGTTCCCTAGCTGCTATCCCTTCTCCACTTTTCCTCATCTAAACCTCACCCAGAGGTGTCTACCTTTACCTCTGTCTTACATGAAGAGGTGGCCCTTTTTGCCTAGACCCACACCCTATGACCCTATTTCATCCCCTCTTCTGCAGCAGATTACCCCCTCTATCATCCCCAGTCTTCAATCTGTCCCTGTCCGCTAGCTGCTTCTCTGCTGCCAACAGAAATGTCCATGTCTCCCGCATCATTTAAAAATCCGCACTCAATCAAACCGTCCTCACTGGCTAACGTCCTTTATTCCTCTTCCCCCTTCTCAGCTAAACTTGAGAAAGCCACCTGCGGTGTGTGCCTGCACTTCTCCTTTCTCCTTCCTACACTTTCTGTCTTCAAGCTTCTATCCTCATTCAAATGACATGACTCTCTCCAAAGTTACCAGGGCTCTCTTAACTGCTAAATCCAGTGGCCTTTTCTCAGTCCCCACCCTCCTGACCTCCCTGCAGCCTTGGACACCGTTGACCACCGTTTTCTCCTTGAGGTTCCCTCTAGCTTTCTACGATGCTGCTCTCCTGGTTTTCCTCCTGCCTACCTGAATGCCCCTTCCCAGTCTTTTGCTGTGTCCGTTAACTGTGGGTGTCCCCAAAGGGTCTGTTTTGGACCCTTATCTCTCATGAAGAGGTGGCCTTATACCATCTCACTTGGTGACTTAGTAGCTCCCATGAATTCACTTAATCTCTGTGCAGTAATTCACAGGTTTACATATCCAGCTATAGTCTCTTCTGAACTCCAGTCCCATATCACCAACTGCCTGATGGACAACTTGAGCTGCATATCCCATAGACATCTTAAAACAGATATGGCCAAAACTGAACTCACTGTCTTTTTCCCCTAAATCCTCCCCTCCTCCCAACTTTCTTCTTCTTGGGGAGCAGACCACCCTTCTCCCAGTCACCCAGGCTTGAAGTGTCAGTGTTAGCTTTGACTCCCTACCCCAAGTATCCAACCACATGACAAGTCTCGTCATTTCTGTCTTCACAGCATCTCACATCTGCTTCCCTTTCTCTCCGCTCAAATAGCCTCTGGCTTTGTGCGGATGATCTTTTCACCCAGACCGTGGCAGTAAACTGCTGCTTGGTCTCTGTCTCCGCCTTCCTCCACTCAGCTGCCCATGTCAGTCTCCTAAAGCAGTGACCACATCACGTCCTTGCTCAGTGAAGGCCAGTCACTCCCTGTGGCCTCCAGGATTGATGATAAAGGTCGAAGCCTTTCACAACCAAACCTCCTGCCATCTTTCTGGTCTTAAGCCCCTCTCTCTGAGGGCGCCGTAGACTGGCTGCACTGGCCTTTATGCGACGCCTTGAACAAGACGCTACGTCTCCTTTCTCTTTGCCGGTTCACTGACTGTGCCCTGTTATTGGAGCTCTCCCTTCCCTCCGCTGTGCCCACTCATTTCCTTTGGCTCCTTTGAAGCACAGCTCAAATCCTCCCTTCTGCAAGAAGTTTTTCCCAGTCATCTCCCTACTACTAGGGCCTTCCCCTGAGATGACCTCCGTTTGACGCGGTATATTTATTTTTCTTCCATAGTTATTTGCATTTTGTCTCTGAATTGGAATGCGAGCTCCTTACGGGCGGGGACTCGGTGCTTGGCACCCATGGAAAGCCCTCAGTGCTTGATAGGCAGCTACCCACGCTCCTCTGTCTCTCTCCTGTGTGCAGCATTTACTGATTTTCTGTAAATTCACTCATGCCACAAAGATGTGCAATGCTGAATTTGATGTATAAAGATCTAACCGATAGGGGCAGCTAGGTGGCGCAGTGGATGGAGCACTGGCCCTGGATTCAGGAGGACCTGAGTGCAAATCCAGCCTCAGACACACAACACTCACTAGCTGTATGTCTCTGGGCAAGTCACTTAACCCCATTGCCTAGCCAAAAACAAACAAACAAAAAAGCTCTAACCAAACAACAAAATGGAAATTACACTAACAGATCTTAATATGCTTCTTTAAGATACAGGAAGCTTTATTGCTCATTCAGCACAGTTAAACTGAAGAGAATCAGGTAGCTCAGGACCTTACTAGGTCTTGGGGGCTTGTGTTTGGATACTATAAGGCCTCTCCTGTGGGTCGTCTACCATTTAGGAGCAGATGCTCTCCAGATGGGTGGTTATGTGGTACGGCTCACACACTAATGTCTACAGAGCTCATTGGAGACTGTTTTTTGCATGTAGTCACAGTCCCTACTAAATAACTCAAGGCCACCTCTTTTAAGATGGGCTGGTTTTCTTCCAGGTGCGATGAGGGGGAATGAGTCTTCCTCTTGCTCTCTGATGCTGACGTCATCCCAGCGGTCTGGGCCATCCAAGCGGACCATCCTCAGGCCTCTTCGGCAGATGGGTCTAGCCACACAAACAGGCTTCCCGCTTCCCCCCTTCTCATGTAGGCCCGTGATGGTTCAGCAGGTCCACGTTTCCCAGGGGTTCTCAGGCCATGATTGGTGGTATGATGAGAAGGTGCCCTCTGTATCTTCTCGACCATCCTGCTGTTGAGATGATGTCTTCCCAAAGTCCCTTCGACATTGACAGCTTCCATCTTGTGGCATGTTGACTAGTTTGCTGGATTTGAGGTGAAACATAAAAGTGATGTTAACGTACATGTCACTTAATGATGTCTCCTTTCCTTCTTTGTTTGCCAGCTGTGTTTCTCTTTTCCTCATCTTTAAACTCCTAGAGAAAGCCATATCTGCTCATTGTCTTTCTCTCCCTTTTCCTCTCCCTTAACAGCCCTTCAGTAAGCTGGTTTTCTCATTATCACTTGGCCAATACAGTTTCCTCCCAACCTACCACTGACTTCTTAAGTAAGCCAGACCCGGTGGCTCTTTCTCGACCTCTCTGCACCTTTGACATGTGGCTCACTTTCTCTCCTGGGTATTCTTTTTCTATGACCCTGCTCTGCCTTGCTTCTCCAGGCTGCCCGACTGCTCCTTCTCAGTCTCCTTTGCTGGCTTATCATCTTTCTGTCATGTCCCCTGCCTCAAGGTTCTGCCCGTAACCTCTCTTTTCTCACTGGATAACCTCATTGGTCACTGTGGACTTAGCTGTCATCCCTGTGCAGATAACGCTCAGTGTCAGCTCTCTTCTTTCTGCGGAATGCCAGCTCTGCATCCCTGCACGTCAGACGGCACGTGCCAGAGGCATCTCCAGTCCACAAGAGAACTCACCTTTCCCCCAGATCTCTTCTGAACTTGCCTCTGTGTGCCCAGGGCCCTGCCCCTGTGGCTCAGTCCAGGGCACAGCTTTGGAGGAACCCTGACTCCTGACACTCGCCCCTTCACTTCACAAATCCACTTCATTGCCAGGTCTTAACTCTTCTGTCTCCACAGTCTTTCTTTGTCCACTCATGGAGCCACCTGCTGGCTCAAGTCCTTGTCACCACTGACTTCCACTATCTCAAGCTCTTCTGTGTGGCATTGAGGAGCCCATAGAAATGGCTGTTACTGCAAGCCTCTCGGGCAGGACTTCCCAGGCTCTGTGGGCTGGCCCCCTGGTCCTTGGCTGCGTGGGGGCCCTCCCGCGAGACCATCCCATCTCCTGACTCTGAGCCTTTGACTTGGCATTCCAGGCCCCGGGTGATTCTCCCTCCTCCCCTCCTTAGTGTCTTTCAGCAGCTCTCAGCTCCGGGGAAGCTCTCTGCCTGAGCCTTTCCTGGTCCCCTCTGCCCTCAGACGCTGCTGGAACACTTCCCTGCATTTGCTTGCTGTAGGCCTGGGGGCGGGCTTGTCTTTTCCCTGCCGGGGTGTAAGCCCCTCGAAGGCACAGTCTGGTTTACTCCTGCCTTTCTACCCAGCACCCAGCGCAGTGCCTGGCACTTAGTGGGCACTTCATAGCTTCTCGTTGAGTGTCATTTTCACACCGTACTCCCATCATTCCCCAGCAGTTTCTAAAGCACGTCAGCTCCCTTGGCAAGGTTGTACATAAGCAAGCACTTGAACCACAGAATGAGAGGCGGCTTGGTGTCATGGAAAGAATGTTGGCCTGGGGTTCCGAAGGCCTGGAGTGGAGGCCAAGCCATGTGGCCTTCCTTAGGTGCAGGTTTTTCTTCTTTAACTTGGAGATAAATGCATACTTGCACTGCAAATATGTGCTGCTCTTACTATTGTGGGACTCAGATCTCGTGCAGAATGAGCCACATGTCATAGGTGCTCATACACTGGCTTTAGAATGCTCCAAAGCCCTCCATGCAAGTCCTGCCCGCTCCCCCTTGCCCCCGGGCCCATGTGAAGGTTGCTGGCTGGGCTAGCACGCATGTGTTTGGTGTTTCAGGAGTCAGTGACCTTCAAGGACGTAGCCATAGACTTCACCCAGGAGGAGTGGGGGCACCTGGACTCTTCCCAGAAGGAACTGTACAGGGAGGTGATGCTCGAGAACTATAGCAACCTGGTGTGCCTGGGTAAGGCCAGCTTCCCCCGGGACTCCGAATGTGCACTTTGGGCTCCTTTGGTTCCAGCTTGAAATGGTTTAGGGTATCTCACGTGCTGTGCCATTATTGTTTGGCCCACAGAGACCAGAGGTTATCCTTTGGGGAACCAAAGTCAGGGGGTTTTTTTGTTTATTTTTGACAAACTATTTCCAGGTTAAAGGTATTTGCTTTATACAGCTGGGAACTGGAGGCTTGATGCCTCTCTGCCCTGCCCACCTCCCCTCTACCCCTCGGCCTTCCCTCAGTTCCAAGCCTCTGCTAAAAGTTCTGTGGAGATCCCTGAATGTAGGAAAGGTTCCTGTTCTCTCGGGGTGGGAGAGCGCTAGTGAACTGTTTTCCTTCCTAAGTCCAGCCGCATTTTGTGACTTGTTCCCTTCATACTCCAGAGCATCCTTCAGAGATCCTCAGAGCCACCTTGTGGCTCTTAGCATGGCCACACTTTCCCCAAGCCAGAAGGGAGAGGACTGACTCTGAGATGTCTCTCTGTCCCCTTCCTTTTCCCATTTTGGACGACCAGGACTTGCAGCCTCCAGACCAGACCTGATTTCCCATTTGAAGCAAGGGGAAGCGCCTTGGGTGGCAAGGAGAGATGTGGAGGCAGGCACGTGGCCAGGTGAGTGAGGGAGGGAGGGAAATGTACAAGCAGCGTTGCTGCGGCTGCAGCTTGTGACGTGTGTGACGGTCGCATCTCGGAACTCCCCTGGCGTCTGGACATCTGGGGTGCTCTGGTTGTAAGCTGCTTCATAGGCCTTTATCCTGACCCCAGGAAATCACCTTCCTCCCGTCGTGTGTCTCCTAGGCTCAGAGAAAGAGGTGCCTTTGAGGGGAGGGGGAGAATCTGTATTTGCCCTCAGCTCTGTTCATCAGCAAACATTTATCGAGCAGCCACCATAGCTTAGTGGCTGAGGGCTGCTAGGTGACACCATAGTGCACAGAGCACTGGGCCCAGCATCAGGAAGGCTCATTATCCTGAGTTCAAATCCAGCCTTAGACACTTACAGGCTGTGTGACCCTGGGCAGGTCACTTAGCCCCATTTGCCTCAGTTCCTCATCTGTAAAATGAGCCAGAGAAGGACATGGCAAACCCCTCCAGTGTCTTTGCCAAGAAAACCCCAAGTGGGGTCATAAAGAGTCAGACACTACTGGAGTGACTGAACAAAAAACCGACTGTGGGTCAGGGACAGGACTTAGCACTGGGGCTGCAAAGGGAGAAAGGAGACGGCCCCTGCCCTCAAGGAGCTTAGATTCTGGGAGGCAGCGTAGCAGGTGATGGAGGAGACAGCAGCCACCACGGGGACCAGAGAAGTTTCACAGAAGGTGCCACTGGATCTGAGCTTGGAAGGGACTAGGGGCTAACGGGACAGAGGTGAGAGGGAGGGTATGAGCACATTAGGGCTAGTCTGTGCACAAGACCTGGCGATGAGAGGTGGAGTGGCAGTGTGAGAACGTCAATGAAGACAGACTGGGGAGTGTAGGAAGGGAAGGACGGTAGAGACCAGAAAAGCAGGTTAGAGCCGAGTGGAGAGAGGGCTGTAAATGCCAAGGGAGGAGTCCCCTTTGGAGCCCAGACATGAGGGGATTTGTAGTGAATCCTGCCAGAGATTTAGGCCAATCCCTCTGGTGCCTGTGTGGGGCGCGGTTTGGAGGACAGACGCAGGGCAGGGGGCCCACTGCAGAGGCTATTGCAGCTCAGTTCACACGTATCTTCCCATATTTCTCTGATTTCCTATAATATTTATGATTTCTTCTGGTATGATAATTTTCCACACATTCCTCTACCACAATTTTTTCAGGTATTTCCCAGTCACTGGGAACCTGCATTTTCAAGTCTTCTACAAAAACTGTCAAGAAATACGTAGCTCACTTAATCATAGTTACCCAAAGAGAAATGTCACACAATGCTCAGGCTTCAGAGGGTTCCAAAGCCAGCGTATTGAGTACTTCCTGTGTGTGGCTCACATTGCACTAGATTTTGAACATATAATTTAATGAAATAGCAAGGAAAAATGAAATGATATGCTGTATATAATTAAATGCCAATAAAGCAGACATCTACATATGCATAAAAGTTTAAATACCTAAATGAGCAAGATTCCAAATAACTCAGCTTCCAAAATGGAGCCAGCTGAAAAGGAATGAGAGAGGGCACATGGGAGAGGACAGATGGATTTCGAAGAGAATGACATAAAACATTTAAAAATTAACACCTCTGCTAGAAAAAAAGTTGTTCTCCATAATAAAGATGACACTTTCCTTCCTTCTTCGTTAAGAGAAATAGGGACCTGACATCAGACTAGAAAGGAGTAACGGAAAGGATACTATAGGTCAGTATTATTGATAAATATTGACACAAAGAAATTTGAGACTACAGAAATAGATACAAAAAATTCTTCATTATCATTTAGTCAAATGTATACCAGAGTTACCAGGATGGTTCAAAACTGAGAAACAACTATCAGAGCTAATATAGAAGCAACAAAAATGATCGTATCTGTTGGTACAGAGAAAATCTTAACAGAATATATCTCTCCTTTATGTTAAATACCCCAAGGCTCTATCCTAGACTCTTTCTTCTTTCTGTAAAGTCTGTGCTGTCAATAGCCTCTGTAGATCTAGCCATCATCTCTATGCTACTGACTTTTAAGTCAGTGTGTCCACATCTCATGTCTCTCTAGGGCTCTAGACCTATGTTCTGTTGGCATCTCAAACTCAGTACGTCCCAAACCAAAGTCATCGTCTTTCCGACTGAGCCGAATTCTCTTTCTCGGTTCCGTGTTTATGTTGAGGGCACCACAGTTCTTCCAGTCACCCGTGTTTGCAGCCTAGGAGTCACAGCTGACCCTTCACTCACCCCTCCTGTCCAATTAGTTCTGCCCCCTCCCTGTCTCTCTCATCTGTCTGTCCCCTTTCCACTATCTTTAAAGCCTCTCCCATCTGTCCTCCTCTCTTATCCAGACTGTTTCCGTAGTCTCCATGCTCACCTGCCTGCATCTGCTCTCTCTTTTCTCTGTCCATCCTCCAAAGAGTCATGAAATTGATGCTGAATTGACCAGGCGCACACTAAGTGCACACTACGGGCTAGGCACCAGTGTTACCAAGACAGAGCAGCTCCCCCCTTCACATTCTTTGGGTGCACAGTAACACATACACGGAGATTGAAGTGTGAAATGCACACAAAGCAGTTTACGAGGGGAGCATGCAGGCTTGATGTGACCCAGTTTTAACAGTAGAACAGGGGTTCCAAAGGACTCAGTGGATGTGAGGGGAGAATGTGACACGGGGCATGGGAGGCGTGGGGCTGGCGTGGACATGTGGTCAGGGACGAGACCCACTGGTCTGGATCGCCTCGGCGGTCCATCGTCACGGCCCCCACAGTAGCTGTGGTCATGTCGACTTGATTATCGATCCCGGGTATGAGGGGAGGAGGGTGGGCGCAGCAGAAGGGTGATGCCGTGTGCGTGGCTCTGCCTGATGGGCACACCTCCAGCCGTGGTCCCCGGGAAGCTGCAGTGGCTCCCAGTGTCCTCTGTCATTCCAGGCTTTTCATCGTCTTACTGCCTGAGTGAACTTGTGCAGGTCACCTGGAATCAGTTTCCTTATTAGCAAAATGAGCAAGAAATAGATTCTCAGTCCCTGCCAGCTCCAGAGCTTGGGTTCTGTAGTCTGTTTTCTGTCTGTTCAGGCTGATGGCTTCGTCTTCCTCCACAGAAACCCTTCTTCTTCCAGACTGACCTCAGCCTCCTTGCTTTTGCACAGCTTGTCCCCTTGCCTGGAATGCTCACTTTTGTCACCTCAACCCCTTGGAACCCTGAGCTATTTTGGAGGCTTACCATCTCATGCCTCATCTCCTCAAAGGCGTCTTTGCTGATTCTTTCAGATGTTAGATGTCTTGTCCCCCCCCCACTAACTCACTTTATTTTATGCATTTATAAATATAAATTATACACATTTGCATTTCAGGTATGTACTCTGTATTTATTCATCTGTGACTGGATATCATCCCCAGTAGAATGTCAGTTCCTTGAGATCAGAGCCTGGCTCACTTTTGTCTTTGTATCTCAGTCCCAGGCCTGGTAGCTAGCCAATATTAACCATAAATGTGGGTAGATTGTCGAGCTCTAAAAAGGCATGACCATGGCCAGGCCTTTTTCAGAGTGATCACAAATATGAATGCAAGCTGGTGTCCTTTATAGTGCCGGGATCATGGATTCAGATCTGGAACAGACCTGAAAGATTGTCTTTCAGCTCCCTGATTTTGGAGGGGATTCACCTTGGACATGGAAGCACATTTTCCCTTTGGCCCAAGGAACCTAGCCAGGAGCAATGAGAGGGAAGTTACGAAGCATTTAATGCTGGATGTCAGGATGACCACCCTAAGGAGCAGAGCTGTCCAGAATGCAGTGGTCGGTCTGGGCCGAGGCGGTGTGGTAGCTTCTCTTACAGAGAGCTCTCCTTTCTAGTACAGGTTAGACTATGGGATCCCTGTGAAAAGGTCCCTCAGCGTCACAGGACAAGTAAGTGGCCAAGCTGGGGTTTGAACCCATGTCTGCTGACTCCAAATCCAGAACTCTTTCCAAAGTACCGTGAAATCATTCTCTCTAACTTTAGAGTTAAATCAGTGCTGCTTCCCCAATATTATTGGCTGCTGTACTAGAAATTTAGCTATCACAGTAAGACAGGATAAGGAAATTAAAGGAATAATCATTGATTAAAAAAAAAATGAACTATTCTCATGTACAGGTACAGGATGATTTCCTTAGAAAAACCTCACAGAATTAGTGAAATAAAAAGTTAATTAAAAAAAGCCACTGGCATTGTTTTATAGTATCAGTGAAAATCAGAAGGCAATGACAGAAAAATTCCGTGAAAAATGCAGTGGCCTTAGTTAGCCCACCAAGACCAAGGACTTATTTAATTAAGAGAAAGGAGGCCATTGTCCAGTTTTTCTGAATTTTTATGCTGTTGCTTTTGCTTAGTACTGCTTTGCAGTGTTGTCTGAGCTGGACCGTGATGCACGTCTGTGCCCAGTCGGAAGGTGCACAAAGTGAAGACTCATGTTTGTCCTGCTAGGTGGGGTTCATCCCAAGGCTGTGCAGGGTCAGGAGACGTCACCTTTGACTGCAAGGTCATCCCAAGCTTCAGTGTTCTTGGTTCTGGGGTACTAGGTGCTGAGAAGGTACTCAGCATTCTCTGATAGAAAACAGGGCAAGGACTTTTGGCCCCCTTTAGGCCTTTTACCCCACACTGAACTTTGTGAAACCTTGTAGAGTGGGCACACGCTCTCTGTTACATGGTTGTGCCCTCCTTGTGGCTGTCCTGTTCAGGAGCTCCTAGAAAGGAAGCTTGAGTTCAGGCTGTGTGCCGTCTGACTGACACAGTGGTGGCTCACAGACCTAGACTCTCCCCTGAGCCTTGGTCCTGCATGGCAAATTGTCCATTGGACGTTTCAAGCTGGATGAACTCAGCACGTTCTAAACAGAGCCCCTAGCTTTCCCCCCATGCCTGCCTGTCCTCCGGACTTTTCGCCAGTCCATCCAGTCTCCTGTGTTCACAATTTCTACATTCTTCTTGCCTCCTCACTCTCCCTCACAACTGCTGTCCAGTACCTCCACA